ACATTTTTTAAAAGTATTCCAAATTCACAATAGAAATATAGTTATGAGAGAAGATAAGTTGGTTGCTCACTTACAGGTGTATATTGAAGATCATACAAAATAAAATCAACGTTTAATCACATTATCTAAATATATTGGCACTACAGTTATATGTACAGACCTATAATGTGGTGGAGTCTCTAAGTTAGTGCCTTTGTTCTTAGGGCCAGGCGAGGCAGCTCACGCCTGTAATACTAGCACTTTGAGAGGTCAAGGCAGGTGGATCACCTGAGGTCAGGAGTTCAAGACCAGCCCGGCCAACATGGTGAAACCCCGTCTCTACTAAAAATACAAAAATTAGCCAGGCATGGTGGCAGGTGCCTGTAATACCAGCTACTCGGGAGGCTGAGGCAGGAGAATGGCTTGAACCTGGGATGCAAAGGTTACAGTGAGCCAAGATCGCGCCATTGCACTCCAGCCTGGGGGACAAGAGTGAAACTCTGTCTCCAACAACAACAAATAAATAGTCTTTGTTCTTAGAATAATTTATTTAATTTTTGCTTCCTGATATATTTTCAAATATTGAAGTTTTACAAAACCAAATAATAACTGTGGTACTAGTATTCACATGAATCCGTATTTGAAAAGTTATAAATTGACAAACTATAACAAATACCAGTCATCAACTGGATGAAACTCCCTAATGAACAGGGAAACATAAAAATTATCTGATTATAAGACTGTACCAAAGTATGAAACCTGAGAATGGTGGGATATACTTTTTTTTTTTTTTTTTCTGAGATGGAGTCTCACTCTTGTTGCCCAGGCTAGAGTGCAGTGGCACGATCTTGGCTCACTGCAACCTTCACCTCCTGTGTTCAAGCGATTCTCCAGCCTCAGCCTCCTGAGTAGCTGGGATTACATGTGCCTGCCACCATGCCCAGCTAATTTCTGTACTTTTAGTAGAGATGGGGTTACACCATGTTGGCCAGGCTGGTCTCAAACTCATGACCTCAGGTGATCCACCCTCCTTGACCTCCCAAAGTGCTGGGATTACAGGTGTGAGCCACCTCGCCAGACCGATACTTTCATAATAACTTTAAAATGACATTTACCTTTTACCTCACTGAAGGACTAATCTGTACACAAAAGCATGTTTCATCTTCTGAAATTCAGCTTCTGTGAAAATTTGAGTGATTAGACACAAAGAGGAACTTTATAACAAGAATTTCTTAAAATATTTCTGAAACTGGGACTGGCAACAAAAAGCAGTTGTGGAATTTCATTCTCTAGAAATTCCAGAGTGGTTAGTCAGTCAGGGTTAGGTAGTGCCCTGTTTAAAAACAGGATAATAGCTAGGAGGATTTTTTTCAACTCTTTTTAGTCTAAATATTCTAAAGCTTTTTTGTTGTCTTGAATAAAATTTCTTGCTCCAACCCTGAATTACAGCAACTTTCCAGTGATACCTTATGAAAAACAATAATCTCTAAAAGCCTGGGCGCAGTGGCTCACAACTGTAATCCTAGCACTTTGGGAAGCTGAGGCAGGTGGAGCACCTGAGGACAGGATTTCGAGACCAGCCTGGCCAACACGGTGAAACCCCATCTCTACTAAAAATACAAAAATTAGCTGAGTATGGTGGTGGGCACCTGTAATCTCAGCTACTCAGGAGGCTGAGGCAGGAGAATCACTTGAACCCAGGAGGCGGAGGTTGCAGTGAGCTGAGATTGCGCCACTGTACTCCAGCCTAGGTGACAGAATGAGACTCTGTCTGAAAACAACAACAACAATAACAACAATAATCTCTAGCTGTCAGGAGGTGAATGGTTACTAAATTAGTGGTTCTCAAGACACAACATCAGTATCACCTAGGAAATTAAATTCTCTGTTCCTCTCAGGTCTATTAATCTCTTACACACATTAACATTTGAGAATCACTGTAGTAAAGAATAATTTTTGTGGCAGAACCAGAATCCTAGTCATCTATGGATTAAATCTGTCCTATGGTGAAATAAAACAGATTCAATTCATAGAATTAGCAATAGGTCCCTATTTTAATCTTCTAAATTGCTAATCATCTTATTTATTTTCTGTATAGGTCTCCTCCTCTCACAATGCTTTTCCTCTGTGCTACAAAATTCTCTGCCTCTGCTCCTTCATCTTGCACAGACATCACCAGCTTCTTGAGCAGTGAACCAAGTTGTCTGCCAAGGGTGCCAGTTACCAGTTCAGAAGCTAAGACCCAGGGAAGTGGCCCGGCAGTGATAGCCACTAAGAAAGCAACCACCTCTCTGGAATCATTCTTCCAAAAAGCTGCAGAAAGGCAGAAAGTTAAAGAAGCTTCACTGTCATCTCTTACTGCACCCACTCAGCCTCCCATGAGCAATTCAACATCCAAGCCCTCATTACCTTTCCAAACCAGTCAAACTAGAGGAACTGAGCCCTTTTTTAAGCAGAAAAGTCTGCTTCTAAAGCAGAAACAGCTTAATAATTCTTCCGTTTATTTCCCTCCACAAAATCCACAGTCCAGCTCTAAAGCATTACCAAACTCTTTACCAACAGAGTATCCAGGTTGTGCCCCTGTTTGTGAAGGGGTGTTGAAGATAGAATCCTCTAAAGCAACTCCTGCAGAGACAGATTTGGCCCGCAACAGCCAAAGCATGCATGCCTCTTCAGCTTCCAAATCTGCTGTGGAGGTGACTCAGAAAGCAACTCCAAGTCTTCTAGCTGCTGAGGATCAAGTGCCCTGTGAGAAGTGTGGCTCCCTGGTACCAGTATGGGAGATGCCAGAACACACGGACTATCATTTTGCACTAGAGTTGCAGAAATCCTTTTTGCAGTCCCACTCCTCAAACCCCCAGGTGGTTTCTGCCGTATCTCCTCAAGGCAAAAGAAATCCTAAGAGCCCTTTGGCCTCCAATAATAAACGCCCCAGGCCTGAGGGCATGCAGACATTGGAATCATTTTTTAAACCATTAACACACTAGTGCTGCCCTCAGGCTTGCTTGTAGGATTTGATATTTTATCTTTACAGATCTTTAATATTTTATCTTCACAGATTTCCCTGAGAAGGGGGAATTATGAAATTGTTAATACAAAAAACAGTCCATTTAGGTGCTGAGTTCCTGTCCCATCTCTTCACAGGCATGGATTCTAATCCCACTGCTGACAGAGATGTAAAAATTAATCCTACCATTGAGTTTTTAATCTTTAGCATTTAGGGAGGCGGCGTCACGTAGTAAAAAGTGTGTGGGCCTTGGAGTCTAAGAGACCTGGTTCCAAACTTAACTTTTCCTATTGCAGTGATGACCTTGAAGAAGTCATTTCCGTCACTTTCTCATCTGTAAAACTGAGATAATACTTACAAATTATTGCATATTAATAACTGGCTTTAAATTACATAATGGCCAGGTGCAGTGGCTCACACCTGTAATTCCAGCACTTGCCGAGGTGGATGGATCACTTGACGTCAGGAGTTCGAGACCAGCCTGGCCAACATGGCAAAACCTCGTCTCTACTAAAAATAGGAAAAGCCAGCCAGGTGTGGTGGTGTGCACCTGTAATCCCAGCTACTCAAGAGGCTGAGGCCAGAAGAATTGCTTGAACCCTGGAGGTAGAGGGTTGCACTCTAGCCTGGACAACAAAGAGTGAAACTCCGTCTCAAAAAAAAAAAAGAATTAAGTACATAAGTTGGCACAGAAAAGGAACCAAGTTTTAAAAGGGGTTTTAAGCGTAATAACATTGCATAGGTAGAAAAGAAAAAGGATTTTAAGAAAAACTCTCTAGTCTGCGTCCAATTCCTCACACCTATAATTCCAGCACTTAGGAAGATTGAGGCTGGTGGATTGCAGGAGCCCAGAAGTTTGAGACCAGCTGGAGAAGATGGTGAAACCCTGTCTCTACTAAAAAAAAAAAAAAAAA